TATGGCCCATCCACTTATTTGCACAATTCTGTGCTCTCATTTTCTACAAATTCGCCTGAGAATGTGTCGCTACTCATCACACTACTGGAGATCTTGGAAAAAGAAAATGACATCCTGGAGACCGTGCGAATGTGTAGAGAGTCTCTAACCCTATTAATCAACCTAACAATAAGAACGACCTATTTCTCATTCAACAGCCGCACCTATGAGCAAATATTTGGTCTGCCTATGGGCTCATCAGTCTCACCTCTATTGGATAATGCCTTCATGGACAAGTTGGAGGAATATTTTAAAATGTCACCCTAACAGCCAACAATAATTATGAGACATTTGGATGACTACTTCGCAATTTGGTCGCATATAAGAGAGAAATTAGACGATTTCCTGAACTTCATAAACAAAATGGATGAAAAAGTCCTATTTACCATGGATATGGAAGAGAACTGACACTTACCTTTCGCTCCAAGGAACGTCTCATGAAAAGACTTTTCCGAAAGAAATCGCATACTAGAATAACTCGAAACTTCCAGTCTCACCATACTTATGGAATGAAGATTGGAATACTCCGGAGTATAATCATAAGAAGCCTACGACTAACTGATTATGAGTTCTGGAAAGAGAAACTTGAAAAAACTAACTCAGATGTTCATTCGACACTGTTATCCAGAATAAGAAATATAACGTAACCTGAGGATGGTAATAAACAGATGGAAAGACGGAGATTATGAAAAGAGAACAAGCAGAACAGGGGAAAATGATGGATATGTCTACCCTCCTGCGAATTGGCTCGGAAGCTACAGCCAATACCAAGGAAATGGAGCATGCGTACTATCCTGAAGGAAAGGACAACCCTATTCACCAGCTTGCCCAAACAACATGAAAAAGTCAACAAAATGGAGTGCTCCAGAATTTACAGCATAAACTGCAAGGACTGTAGACAAAAATACATAGGAGAGACGGGAATGACAATCAGTACAAGGATCAAAGAGTCAGCGAATCTGCAGGACAATGAATACGAGAGGGTCAAAGATAGCTGAACACCTTGTCCTTATCAGTCACACAATTGACGGGAAGGCAAAAGAAAGACTGACTTCATATGAGGTAAACACCAGTAAACGGAGGATCAGGGAGGCTGTGGACATCCTCTTTCAAAGAAACCTGATGAACAGGAGATTAGAAGAGTGGAGAATAAGCGATAAAGTTGTGTACTGTTTGGGTAGACTTGGAGATTCCGCGAAGACATCAAAAAGAAGAATCTTGGACCCAGGACAACTGTTCAACACTAATAAGAGGCATCACCAAGGAGCAGCTCATGAGACGTAAAGGGAAGTCAAGAAAAGGCGACTGTAGTGAAGGGTGTCAGACGTTGAATTGGCCAAAATATTTACTCAAGGTGTTCATCTGTGATGTTAAAGCCTATAGGTATAGGTTGCCTAGATAGAGGTCACCAGTGTGTGTGTGTGTAGGTAGGTAGGTATAGGTGTTGTCCGTAATTTTCGTATCTGTGCCTAAAGGTGAGGGAACTGGTGGCAAGCTTAATCTCGGGGGCTACCAGCCAAAACACACACATACACATAATCCTAGTACCCTAGGATTCAAAGGTTATAGTGGAAGTTGTGTATTCTCACGCGAGTGGTTTTTACTTGAGCCGGACACAGTACCCCGAAGAATGAGACACATATGGGTGGGGATGAGGAGGATAATCTAGTCATGGATTTGAAGCCTAGGGAGAGGAAAATTCCAAGGCACTGACATGTGCATGTTTCTGGATATGGACATCATCTGCTCTAACTTCACGAATATGGCGTAATCTAGGACGCGAATTGAATGCTCTTAGGCTCCAGATTTCATACAACTAAAAAATGGTTTTGATGTGGAAATGGATTGACCTCGTTATCGCCACTTGGTTTTGTTGTCAGGGCGACTTAGTAGAACGCAACTAGTCTGGAGTCCCCTGCCACATAATTCCCATCATCAGAACATGAACTTGGTACATTCTCAGGCATTTCGCCGGCATCATCAGTGAGTGTTGCCATTCTCCGGAAGAAGCTACGAACTTGTCAAAGAGACAAATGAAGCCAATCCCTCGACCAACGTTCTGCCGAAAACGATTACACTATCACTTCTCTTTCTGTCCTGGCCCATCTATCAACTCTTTGCTCTCTTTACTCTTTTATCAAACCCCAGCCCTATCACAATTTCTGAATTGTTTACGTTCTACTCGTCAAAATGTGTGCCCTCTTTGGAAAATTTTGTGTGGTCTCATCACACCTGCTATTCACACTCTATTCACACGAGTGAAATACGTGAACCAGGGAGAGAGCAGACGGATCTTACGGGGCAAGAGAGAGACAGTGATAAGACCTAGGAAAAGAGGACTTTGTAACAATATGGCAGAATCTGATCAACATTACCAGCACAAATGTGAAGGAGGTGAGAATGACAGCGTGGAGTGTGAAGGGTTTTCATGAATACCGATCAAAGGAGCACACCACACTACATCGAAATAGGCACGGTAAAATTGTAACAGTGAAGGCGTGATACGAGGATATAGGAAGTATAAATAGCCCAGGGCAGAAGGGGAGATAACACAACTGTTTAGCAGAAGATTGGTCAAAGGATCGACATCACTTGTCTCTTTGATGAGTTGTTATGTGGTGCAAAGAATGGCGAGACTCACTGACGATACCGACTAAGATCCTGGCGAAAGGTGTGGGAACGTACCACTCCACGCTCCTACTCTGGAAATTATCATGCATACAATGGACTCCGGACTAGCTGCATTCCTTTAAGTCTTTCTACCAATATGACCAAGTTGCGAAAACAAGGTCAAACAACCTCTATACAACGAAAGGAGACTTCGACCACACAAAAGGCCACACCATCTTTGTCTTCATACCTTTGACTAGTATATTGTTCGGCAATAACTACCCAAGCGAATTAATACAAAGGAATATACGAGCCGTGAAAAGCCGATGGCAAAACGGTGACTATGAAAGAACAGTAGAGACGGAGAAAGATTGACAAAAGTGGATATGCTTATCACCCTGCGTACTAACTCAAAAACTACGACCAATATTAAATGTGGCCAAGGTAGAAAAAATAACACTTGTTACAAGTCTACCGACGTATCATGAAAGGGTAGACAAATTGGATTGTTCAAGAGTTTACTGCATTTCATGCGGCACCTGCGAACAGAAATATATTGGCGAAACAGGAAGACTAATTAGTATATGAATCAAGGAACATGAAAGGCTGCGCAGGAAAATGGATACCGAAAAATCAGAACTAGCGGAACGCATCGCACAGACTGGATCAGAGATCAATTGGAAGGCAGCAGAAAGAAGGGCCTCATACGGGGAAAAAACAAGGAAGCGAAAGACTATTGAGGCCAGTGACATCCTTGGGGAGAAAAATCTAATGAACAAGAGATTGGAGGGAGGTAGAGTTAGAGATATTTTTCCCAATAAGACCAGTAGAAGGAAGACGCATGGAGCAAGGATCTATCAATAAGAGAAGGAAAACGGGGAGGCGGGGATTTTCGGCAATCAAGCGAACACGTCAGTACGCGATGTCTGTTCGAATAAATCAACACAACTTAAGGGGACTGGCAGTCATGGAGCTAGGCAGATGGATAAGCAAACCGTCACATAAATTCAGCTTTATGGCCAAAATGTATTAGAAATCTACTTGAGATGCCGCATGCGACCAGAGATAGGCGTCCACATTTTGCTCCAGTCTTGCGTATCCTGGCAAATCTGTCCCTGTGTATTGGCTCTTGATGTGTGAAGACCTTTGGAATCAGTTCATATCCATTTCACGTTTTGTCTCTTCAGGGAACTAGTCAGATATATTGATAACCTCCTCCAGGATGTCTCATAGAAGGCTTTTGTCACTTTGAATTAAAAAGTTGAGTCCTTTTTCCAGGAACGCGGTTGTTTCGGGATTAAGAGGAAATGATTATAAGTTTACAACTTTCTTTCGATCGTAGTGCTCATCAGTAGGTGTTTTCACCTTGGAAACCACTTCAACTGGGTGTACTGGCTTTGACTTAGGCTGCCTTATAATCCCAAACTTACGAAATGTATCGTCATATCTGTTATTAAGTCAGCGAGCATGCGTGATTTCCTGTCGGTCATGCTCTAGAGTTTTTGAAAGTATTCTGGAGTCAGAATCCTGGCCAAATCACGCCGGAGCTTTGACTTAATATCCAAAAACTTAAATAGCTTATTTCTTTCTGTATCATAGGTTTCACTTAGTTTCTGAATATAAGCCTGGTGGAGATACTCATTAACCTTATCAGATTGGTAGGGTCTCTTAAGGTCACAGAACTTCGGAGTGGTACCATAACGTTTACAACTGTTTAAAAAGGCCAGATGATAAGATTGACTTACAAGTGTCTCCTTTGTCCGGCTGTATTCAGTGCTTTGTCTGGCAATTTTTCTACCGTAGTGTGATTGAAGGTATAAAGACCAAGATGGTGTGGCCCCAGGTATGTTCGCAGCCTCCTATCGATTTTTACAAGTGGGTTGCACTCGTCGCAACCTGGTCTTGGTGTCATACCATACAGAGGTATGAATGTAGGTCAGGTGCTCTGCATACAGCATCTGGTACTGGTGATGGAGATGATTACGCTTCCCTAAACCTACTTGTAGCGACACACTCTTAGGCGACATTGGAGGAAATGAGATCACAGAATTGTGTGAATCAGTGGAGTTAAGAGAAAGGAAGTAGAACACATAATAGGGACGAGGAGTGATAGCACAACGATTGAAGAAAAAATTGGTCACTTTAATAAGTTGTAACTCTGTTTTTATCTTTTGTTTATAAAAGTATATTTACTACAAATAATAACTTAAATATATCAACTTGGTAATATTGTTTGGTTTGCATAAAACTAGAATAAATCTATGTAAAATAATTATGGGAAAGTTCAATATAGGATACCCACCTTTATATATTATTTACTTTCGGCCTTTGTCCTTAATATTAGTTTTATCTTTCACAATTAGCTAATGAAGTTGATGAAGTGCTCAGTAGCATTGCTGCACACAGAAATGGATCAGTCTCTTCCTCCCGAAATATTACGCCCCGACGACGGGCCTATGAGCCTCCACTTACTAACGTCTACACTATTCAATGGTTTCTAACTTTGTTCTCAACCACCCTGCCCCCCGAAGCAGTCTTGCGTGTATGGGACAGCGTGCTTCTCGAAGGTTCCGAGGTGGGACTACGCACCGGGCTGGTCATCTTTTCTGCAATTTCGAAGTAAGTACAAAGTAGCGATCGTACTTCGTTGAAATATTAATTTATTTTCTCTTTAAGTTTCGTAATCTATGATTTTGATTTGAGATGTATTCACCCTATTTCGCTTAAGATGATAGTTGAACTGTCTGCACTTTCATATTTCGTGTCTTATTCGAGATGCCAATGAGGCCAGTTAGGGTGGGGTTGAAATTGCATTATAGTCCAGCCTGAATGAGAATACCTTTTGGGAAAGCAAGGCTATATGAAATTTAATACAAACATAAGGTCTACTCATAGAGTTGTGGGAAAATCGAACTACCAGCACCCTTATCACCTTAAATAAAATAGGCTGAATACACCTCATAGATGTAATCTACTAGTAGTCTCGAAAACCTCCTTATAAACGAAAAAAATATGATTTTTATTATTTCCATGCTCAGAATTGCTAGGTACAACTGAAAATTGTTGTGAAGGCCGGGTATAGCAAGTTCCTTGTTATTTTTCAGCACTCAGTATGCTATGGGCAAT